GTTTCTTACTATTTCTGGAGAAGACTTTTAAGATTTGTATTTGTTCCTGAAAGTAATTTTGAAGAGGCTGTGGTCTAGAGTCTTAGCCCTTTTTTGCAGTTTGTGTTTTTAAAAGGCTTCATTTTCTTTTCTTTCTTTCTTTTTTTTTCTTTAGTCTTAGGCAGTTGTGGGTGTTGTTTTAGATACCTCCTGAGGTGTTTATATTCCAAAACATGGTAAGATTTATATCTTCAAGGGACAGAGAAAGAATGCAAGTTTCTCCAAGAGGGACTTCGGTTTTCTAAGGCCAATAATTTGCGAGTTATTTGAGATAAATAGGAGAGGTTTTAGGATTGGTTAAAAAAAAAAGTAGATGGATGTTTGCCTCTAGAGTTGCATTTTTTTAGTTTTGCAAAGATTTTAAGATAAGGACAGTTGCAAAAAAAAAGTACAGTTGCTCTCATTTTTTTTTCTTTTCTTCTTACATGCAGGACAATTGTATTTCCAATGTCCTGATTTTTTTTACAGTATCCGCAAATGTCTGAAGGCAAATAGGAAGGGGTCTGAGTGGACTTTGATTTTTGTTCTAATTTCTGTTCTTTGATCTTGTTAAGGGAGTCCCTAAGGCTAGCTGTGATACCAATAACACAGTGAGAGATCTCTAAAAAGAATTTTTTTCTTTCAAATATAGCCAATTTAAAGGATCCATCATCTGGCCATTGACAAGTAGGATCTTATATTAGTCTCAATAGTGACTTAAACCAATAAGCCTTTTTATGGCTTAACCATGGACCAAAGAGGCATTCCCAAAGGAGAGTGCAAAAATGGAGCCCTCACAAGATCCGGAAAGTTCACTCCCAAAATTAGCCTAAGAAAGATCTAGCCACAAATGGAATGCAACCCACGTTTCTTTCTGGCCAAATTAGTGACAGGGAAGGTTGAGATGACAAAAGCCCCTTAGGGACCAGAACCCCTTATGACAAATTCCTCTGAGAACTGGCACAGTTGGACAGACAATGCTGACTATTAGAGCCATGGCCTATTGGGCTGGTTGCCAGATGCATGCTGGTATGTGCATCCTCCAGTTGGCAGAGACCAGAGAGAATATTCTCATTGGTTATAAAGCTAAGCTTTCAAGACAGAACAAGATGAGAGGAAAGCCTAGTCAGACCTATGGTTTTCCATACCTATGACAAATGACCCAAAAGACAGAGGCAGGGCACTTGGGTGGCTCAGTTGGTTAAGCGACTGCCATCAGCTCAGGTCATGATCCTGGAGTCCCAGGATCAAGTCCCACGTTGGGCTCCCTGTTCAGTGGGGAGTCTGCTTCTCCCTCTGACCCTTCCCTCTCTCACTTTCTCTCTCAAATAAATAATAATATAAAAAATATAAAATCCTTAAAAGAAAAAGACAGGGGTGCCTGGGTGGCTCAGTTGGTTAAGCATCTTACTTTGGCTTAGGTCATGATCTCAGAATCCTGGGATTGAGACCCATGTCGGGCTCCCTTCTCAGTGGGGAGTCTGCTTCTCCTTCTCCCTTTGCCCCTCCCCTAGCTTGTGCTCTCTTTCAAATAAATAAATAAAATCTTAAAAAAAAAAAAGAGGCAAAAGAAAACAGTGACCATCTCTGGGAGGAAAAGGATCGATTGAAAAAGAGTACTCATAACATATTTTTACCAAAATTGCTATACTCAATGACCTAGTTTCACACATATTTTTTCCTGCTAATCTAAATTTAGATAAAAAAAAGCCTCTCACCACTCTCACTTTCATTAGACCCTGCAGGCAGAGATCCAGGAAACCGAGGTAGTAAGAATTCTTATATTCTGCCAGCTTTTTGTCAGAAATCCCAGGATCTTTCAGCTATAGCAGTCCCAGGGTAAGTAACGTCCAGTCAGTTAAAGTTTATCCTGTGATCTATTCCAAATGCTGGAAAGGAAAATTTTTACTTTACCCTTCAAGATTCTTTTGCCTGGTCTAAGAATTAAATTGACTTGAGACACATTAACAAGAGAAAATCAAATTTAATTCCTTACCTACAGGGGATCCAAAGGAATATGATGTTCACAGGCAGTCAGGCAGTTGAGGCTTATATGGCACCCAGAGCTAAGGAGAAAGAAGTAGGGGTCTGGTGCTTCAAAGGGAAGGAAGACAATTCACAGGAAGATGAAAAAGAGTAAGTATGTTTGGTAAACGAATGTTCACCGCACCATACAGAAACAGGACACAGGAATTTTAACAAACAGGCTTTGCCAAGTTCCTCCCTGACCACCACCCAGGTTCATTTTATGCTGTGGTTATGGGGGTGATAACTCTCTTCCTAGAGGAGGTCCTCTATCTAAATTGTTTTAGGCAGTTAGGGGGAAGGTCAAAGCTTCTTCCTGAGCCTTCTGTTTCTTTAAAAATAATCAGCCTAAAATAATCCATATGCCAAAGAGACATTGGGAGGGGTGGCAAATTTTGCTCCCCTACAACATAAAAAAAGAACCTTACAAGATTCATGTTCATGTCCCCCAGTCAGTTTGTAGGAAGGAATGAGTGTTCTTTAAAAAAAATCCCCACCTGCCCTGTCCCTCAAAATACAGTTCGGTTGTGGAAGACTTAAAGGGGGTGAAGGTTATCAATACAAAATTGAACTTTGCCCAAAGGGTTTGTATTTGCTGTTAACCAGTATCAGCCAGAGAATGGCACAAGAAGGCAAAGGGGCCAAGTAACATTTTTTTTCTTCCCTGGAGCCCCAATCTGACTTGGATTGGCTGGCCAGGTCAGGGGATAGAGGTGAGGTGCTAAATCCTCTGGGCACAGAAGGACCACTGGCTTTGGACCTCATACACCGAGAAGGCGCCTGTCTTCAGAACCCCTCTGAGCTGAAAGAAAGCAAATAACTTCATAGGTTACTATATGGTCCATTAAACTATAGAAATAACCATTTGCCAGTTAGTGTACCACCACTTCAAATATGTCCTATAGAGAATTCAGAGAAAAATCTTTCCCCCAGTATCAGGAAGTAAATAAATAAATAAATAGTAAACAATAAGTAAGTAAAAAATAATAACCAACTAGATAATCTGGATTCAGGAGCATCTATGTGAGAAAGCTATCAGATGCACCCAATTCCACCCAATTGCTGAGACAGGTGGGAAAAGCTGATCCTTCTCTTCACTGATGCTTATGCATGTAATTTTAGTAAATAGAGAAGGATAATGTGAAAGTTTAACAAATAGTCTCCTTCCCTCTCCCTGTACACATAGGGAACAGTTGGATAAAAGCTAAGGGAATTTGATTCTGAAGGTCCCTGAAGAGCTGGAGAAATCTCTTCCCTGGGGATCTGATCCCAGAAGAATCAACTTGCAGCTCCTGTGGGCAAGCAGCCGGGGAAACAATGCTGTAGGGGCAAGACCCAGCAAGTCCCTGTTGCCTTATGGGAGTCCCACGACAGAAGTGGTTGCAGTGCATCACACCGGGCCCATTCCTTATCAATCAAATACCACACCTAGTTTTGCACCTGGAAGTTTGACCAATTAACTGTGTGCATGGTTTGTTAAGGAGCTAGTTCCAGGAGACACACAGTGATTAAACATTTGTCCTTCCCTTCCATTTTTTAAATCTTACATTGGAGAAGGACTGAAGATTGCTGGTGATTTGTTCCATTTCTCACCCTTACATTGCCAGGTGCGAAATTACCCAGCTGTTCAGAATTAAACACATGCTCCCAGCTAAACTTCAAAGTTTCTTGAGAGATTTAAAATTTTTCGACTATCAAAAGCATCACCATAGTTATAGGAAAAACCAGTACTCTATGGTATTTCTTTACTTTCATAGTATTTTTTTTTTAAAGACTTTATTTATTTGACAGAGAGACATAGCAAGAGAGGGAACACAAGTGAGGGAGAGGGAGAAGCAGACTCCCACTGAGCAGAGAGCCCGATGTGGGGCTCAATCCCAGGACCCTGGGATCATGACCTGAGCCGAAGGCAGACGCTTAACGACTGAGCCGCCCAGGTGCCCCGTTTCATAGTATTTTTAATTATAAATGCAGAGAAGGGATGAGAATCATAATCTTCTCAGTGCTTTTCAGAGGCCATTAGGGGTCTTAATCAGACTAGATATGCCACAAAGTTACCAGAATGCCCTGGGTGGGTGGACAAGTGTAGAGCTGCCCAAGAGGCCTGGACCACGAAAGGAAGGATTGAATGCCAGGAGTAGGAGGGTGCCTCCCATTCCAGGAGCTCAGAACCCTGATCTTGGATTTGGTTGGCAGCTTATGGACATATCTATCTACAAGGAGTTGTTTTGTTTAGTTTTAACTTTATGCAAATAACACATGGATACATTGCCCTTGAAAAGCATTTAATGCTTACAAATTAAGGCTAAAGTCCCCTACGACCAATACCATCTATCCTGGTTTCCTCCTCCTCCCAAGCAGTAACCTCTGTGGTCACTTTAAGTGTAAATCCTTCCAGTTTTTTAATCATTTTTACCTACTTACACTATATGCCCATATTTATGGTATTGTTTTATATAGTTCTGTGACATAAGTGCAATCATACTGTATGTTTTCATGTCCTGCAAGTTGCTTTTATCCTCAACAACATGTCTTGAGACTTATAAATTAGTACTGCAGAGACCACCAACCTACAAAACAGGTGTAGAGAATACTTCAAAGTGGAAACATCTTAGCTACAGAATATGCTGAAAGAAATCTCATCTGAATTTCCCTTATCTGATCAGGATAGAGCTTTACTAGAGTCAGCAGCCAGCATTCTCCCTTACCAACCCATTGATTTTTGAGTCAAGGAGGCATTGACCTTGGGTGCTGGGACATTCCAAAAAAAATGTAAACAGGTCTCACCAGAACCTTCCATCCTTTGAAGCCCAAATGCTGCGGTGAAAAGCTTTGCACGTGCCCCTCTGTATATATGTATAAAGATACCTTACAAAACAGGAATTGCTGGGGCACCTGGGTGGCTCAGTTGATTAAGTGACCAGCTCTTGATTTCAGCTCAGGTCTTGATCTCAGGGTCATGAGTTCAAATCCTGTGTTGGGCTCCACACTGGGAGTGGAGCCTACTTAAAACAAACCCACCAGGAATTGCTATATCATGGGTTACGTGCCTTTTAGATTCTAGACACTAGTAAACAGAGTGTAGAATGTGATAAATGTTTAGCAACTAGTCTTCTAAAAAGGGGGATAAGGACTGAATTGTAGCATTTGCTCATTTCCATTGTGTAAGTTCTCCCGCCATGGCTGATTTCAAACTACTAAAGTGACATTAGTACACTTGGAATTGGGAAGAGATATGTACAATCAGTTCTTGCAAGCTGGTGTGAGTCTAGCATAGTTCCCAGAATCCCTCAAACTCAGGATGCAAAGAGGTATTGGCAAATAGCCCTCTAAAGTAGCCCAACCAACTTAACTTTCACAAGCAGTGTATGAAAGTATCCATATGAAAGTATCTCAATATAAACACACTTTTTGCCAGTATAATGAGTCAAAAACAATGTTTCATTTTGCCTTGCATTTTCTCAGTCATCAGTGAGGTTGAGCATCTTTTCTTTGCTGTTTTTATTTCTTATGTGAAATGGTCCATATCCTTTGCCTGTTTTTCTTTTGAGTTGTTTGCCTTTTTCTTATTGATTTGTAGCAACCCTTGACATAGTCTGGAAACATCCATCAAAGGAGTTTTCAGTCTATTCTAGACAATGAAATTGGAAGAATACTTCCAAATTTTATTGAGCACCTGCTATATGAATATACCCATCAAGGACTGGAACTGAGAGAGAACAGTACATATTGTGTACATCAAACTCTGTGTGTACTTGTTTAACACTGTGGTAAGGTCAATTGAACACACTCGTGCATACCAGCAATACTAGTAAGAAGTAATTACTACAAAAAAAATAAATTGTATTTTGGTTCAGTCAGCCTACTTGTCACTTTTTTTTCCACAAGCATCTTATCAATCCTCACTTCTCTTGGGGTCATGTAGGTCACTGACTTTTTTCTTGAGGGAATACACACACTAGCACTTCCTATTCTCACTGAAGTCTCTTCTGAGCCTTCCTGGGAGGCCTAATCCTGCATCTCCTTTTCACTGTTGGCCCTGAACTGAAAAGGTGGAGTGCTTTTCTTCCAGGCTGTTTCTCCCTAGTGGCTGTGCCACCAGCTTGCTGTCCTCTAGGATAAATTAAGAACTCACAATTTTTCTCTGGGGTTGACAGTTCCCAGAATCCCTCAAATGTAGGATACAGACGATAGCCTGTTCTTACAAAGGCAAGGCTGTGTAAGTAGGTGGAAACAAAATAGAGGTGTCAGCTTAGATGGAAATGGCTATCTGCAAAATTCAATTTTGACTGCCTCTAATTTGCTGCTCAGGGTGTTTTCATACTTGAACCAGACATCAAAAGTTTTAAGTTGAAAGGATATTGAAATAGTACCAGGTGATGATGCAGTTGTTAGGGAGGGCAACTCCTGAATTTCTCAATTCCCTGGCATTCTTGCCCTTCCTCCCTTTCCCCACCACAATGCCCAGTAGTGGTTTCAGTGAATTCTGAAAGAGGGTTTTGATTCTTTGAATTTGTACCAAGCTGCAAACAGTAGCTTTGGCAATATGTCAGGATAGCAGTGGTTCTTAACCAGGGATGGACATCAGAATCCCCTGGGAAGTGTCTATTAAACATGTCAAACCTGCTGAATCAGAGTCTGGGTGGAGTGCAGGCACGTGTATTTGGCAAAAGTTCAGGAATGATTCTGATGTGCCCTCACGACCAGAACTACTACTCTCTACTCGTGTCATTCCGTGACAAGATTCACTCGGAAGACAGACGTTCGGAGTAAGTGTTTAGAAACATTTACAGCAATTTCACAGAGTACGTCTGTTGATTGTAGGATTGGGTATGTATTGTACATATCTTTTCTCATTTTATATTTTACAAAATTATGTATCTTCCAAAACTGTCAAGCTGTGATAGATTGAAATAAAAATTGGTCCTTCACAGATAGTTTGAGAAGCACTGTTCTGGGCTAGTTTAGCTGTGTCCAAGTCAGACAGGCACAACTAAAAAATTTTCTGGCTTGGTAGTTTTATGACCTTAGGTGAGTAGCTAAGTCTTGGGGACCTCTTCTGGTCGGCTGTTCAGAGGATTAGAGATGAGTGTATCTAAAGCACCTAGCACAGTGCCTGACATTAGTGGAAGTTATTAGAAGCCCATCATGGAACAGTTCCTAACAAAACTATCTTCCAGTTGGCTGTTGAAGAATACACAGAATCATGGAGCATGGTGAGTGAATCTCTTTTTTCAGGCTCATGTATCATATCTTAAGCAAACTAGAGTGCATGGCATGACAGAGATTTGAGTAACTTCCATAAGTACAACCATGAGTAAGGGGGTTTATTGGCCATGGCACTTATAGAGCCAAACTCTGGTTAGCAGACTTCCTCTCAACCTCTCCTTGCCTCCTCTTTCATATTCCCCTTCCCCATAGTCCTTTTCTCTATTCCTTCCCCCTCAGATCCCAACTGCTTTTTGTTTCTTAAAAGCAGTCATTTTTTATTCCTGATGGAGGGTAAGGAGAGTGGAGGGTGGAAATTTCTGGCCACTTTGGTCTGGCCTCTTATTCAAGCATCTAAAAATAACCAGATCATTCATACTGAGCCAATTAACCTCCTGCTGGCATCACTCCTGTGTCCTTGTCGTGCTAAAAGAATATCTATCTGTCCCTTTTTGGCTTACATTACAAAAAAACCCTTTTCCCTTAGCTTCACCTTGATAGGCATCATTATCATTATTTCTGGGGACATTGTTATGTCATAGTCAAATACAGGTGCTTTGGAGGGAGCCAGCAATTTTGGATTGAATTCTGACTCTGCTACTTATTAGTTGTGTGGATTAAGGAAAAAGTTAGTTTTAAAAAACTATCATAATTACCCTTAGACGTAACACAAATTTGAGCCCTTTGGTCTAACCTGAATATTCAGGAAAGTAGAATAAAGTCAAAGGCTTTAACAAACCATCTTTTCTTGCAGGATCCACTGTTCTTTTGGGTGACACAGACCACTGGTTTGGTCTGGCTATAATTCTGAACTTCTCTGGTTAGGGTTTTTTAATTCAAGGCCATGTGATTTAAAATTCCTCTGTCCCCAGTATTTCCTATAACCAGATGTTAGGCCTAGTATCTTGATTAGCTCAAATGATACACTCAGCTCTTCCCATTATACAGAGTCATATTCTATGCTTTTTTTTCATAGCATTTATCACAAGTTATTTCTGGATTTTTTTTTTTAATTAATACCTGTCTCACTTACTAGACTATAAATTCCTTGGAGGCAGGGACCATATTTGGTTTTGCTTACTGTTGTATCCCCACCACCTAGCATGGTACCTGGCTCCTTTAGCAGTTAGTAAATATATATTGATGAGAAAAGGTGCCACTTCCTTTGTTAATCTCCTTTAGGGCAGGAACTGTCTTACTGATGCTTGTGGCCTCAGTATCTAGTTGGTACTAGTCCCCCCACAAGATTTTGTTGCATAGGTACACAAGTCCTATGGTATGAGAAAGAAAGGCAGGAGGATAGGTCTACAGGGAGGCCAACCAGATGGAAAAACAGATCTCCATCACCTGCGAACTGTTCTTGCCAGAAGTGTTTAACCTGAATCTAATCAAGCCTCCAGCCCTAACTTCTAGTTTATAGGAAATAAAGAGAAGAAAATTTGGTAACACTATGAGGAAGCAGTCAGACAAATCCAGAAATTGTAGAATATTCTGCAAGACTATTGGCCTAGACAAAAGGTCATCAAAAGAAAAAGGGAAGATTATCCTAATTAAGAAAGAGATTGAGGAGACATAACATCCAAATGTATTATATGATCCTTGATTGGATCCTGGTCAGAAAAAGGCAATTACAAAAGACATTTGAGTACAACTGGAGAAGTTGGAATATTGACTATATTAGATGATACTTTGGAATTATTGTTACTTTTCTTATATATCTTACGTAGAAAAATGTCCTTATTCTTAAAAGATGTATGATAAAATTTTTAGTGATGAAGTGTCATGATGTCTGCAACTTATTTTTAAATGATTCAGCAAAAATAAAATACATATATAGATAAAGCAAATGTGGTCAAATATTAACAACCACTGAATCTGGGTAGAAGGTATACAGATGGCCACTGTGTAATGGGTTTTTTTTTGTTTATTTATAGTTTATGAATTTAGGGGGATCAGCTTTATTGAGGTATGATTTACATAGACTAAACTTCAATTTTAAAATTTATATACTATAAAGTATTAGGAATTTTGACAAACACATGCAATCGTGTAACTACCATCACAATCAAGATCTAGAATATTTATATCACCCTAAAAATTCTCCCTTACCTATTTATAGTCATCCCCTCATCCTAGCCCCAACCCTGGGCACCACTGATCCATTCTCCATCCTTGTAGTTTTGACTTTTCTAGAATGTCATATAAATGCCCTTGAGTCTACTTTAACTTTCCTGGCTTTGCTGTAACAAAGTACCACAAAGTAGGTGGCTTAAGACAACAGATATTTATTACCTCACAGTCTGGATGCCAGATGTCCAAAATCAAGGTGTCAGAAGGGCCATGCTCTCTGAATAGCTTTGGGGAAAAATCTGTGCATGTCTTTCTCTTAGTTTGAGGCATCACCAGCAATCCTTGGCATTGCATATCTTGCAGCTGCATGAACCCCACTCTCTCCCTCTGTCATCCCATGGTATTCTCCCTGTGTGTTGCTTCTGTCACTGCATGGGTTGTCCCTGTGTGTCTCTTATAAGGACACCAGTCAGCTGGAGCAAGGGCTCACTCTACTCTAGTATCTTAACTAATTATATCTGTAATGACCCTGTTTCCAAATAAGTTCACGATTTGAGGTGTTAAGGGGTTAGGACTTAATATTTTTTGATGGGGAAACACAATGGAGCCCATGATGTCTAGCACAGTATGTTTGAGATCCATCCATGTTTTCCCATGCATCAGTAATTTGTACCATTTTATTGCTGTGTAGTAATCCCATTGTATGGATGTACCACAATGCTTATCTATTTATCAGCTGAAGGACTTTTGGTTGTTTACAGTTTTAGGCAATTATGAATAAAGCCACTATAAATATTTGCATATGGATTTTTGTGTGAACACAAATTTTTACTTTTCCTAGGTAAATACCAAGGAGTGGGATGCTTAACTCTTCTATAAGAGACTGCCAAACTTTTCCAAAGTGGTGGTACCATTTTCCATTTCCATCAGCAACATATGAGAGTTTCTGTTCTTCACATTTTTTTTTAAAGATTTTATTTATTTGACAGAGAGTGAGAGACAGCGAGAGATAGTGAGAGAGGGAACACAAGCAGGGGGAGAGGGAGAGGGAAGCAGGCTTCCCGCGGAGCAGGGAGCCCGATGCGGGG